TTTTCTTTCTGCAGCTGTGCAGAATTATTATTATTACACAATTAACTATTGTGTGATTGGTCAGAACCATGTTGTGTTTTATGCGTCAAAGCAGGTGAACTGTGATGGTGTCGTCACGCTTCAACTGCTCTGCTGAAGAGCAGCTGTTAGAAAATACAACCATGTTTACATCAGCTCCAAGATTTATAAAGGTAGTCAAATCGTGCAGAACTTGTGGAAGGAGATAGCACAATTAAAGTGCACAGTGAGGAGACACAGGCGGCTCTCCGTGGATGTGGTGGCCAGGAGGGATTACGTCTCAGTCAGGCGGTGTAGGGACATGTCTCCTATGTTCACTTGTTGTTGTGTGCAGTCTGTCAAAAACACGTGGTCTCATAACAAATTTGCAAATTCCAAACTGTGTGTACTTTCTCAACCTGTATAATAAACATGTTTGGTTGTGGTTGGGGAGTGTAGACCCCTGGGTGTGGGGCTTCTTGGGAGTTCTGCTTTGCAGTTTCTCAAATATAAAATGTTTATGTGCAACAGAATGTCAAGCATCTAAATCAGCTGGGGCAGATTTCTTCACTACTCACATAAATCCAGCTTTAGTCGTGATGGTTTTAGGGGTTTTACACAGCATTCTAAGGTCAAAAAAGTGTGTGTGGTGTTTTCCATCTGTGTGGGAAAGTGATTTTAGCTCCACTATCAAGTTTGAGTGTTTTAAGACGTATGGAATATTTGAACCATACAGTGAAAGACTGATCGATCCTCCAATGGGGAAAACCATCCTGATCACAGAAATGACCGAGGCATGAAGCAGCTACTGGGTTTATTTTTATCACTTAAACCTTCACACACATCCTCAGACATTGGGCACCTTTTCAGCCACAGGCTCAAACAGCTTTCCAAAGCCAATATCTATCCTTCTCTACTTATTTTTCTCACCTCGTGTTACTCAATCAATCCTATCTCCCAGAAATAGGGCATTGAATAATTAAAATCAACAGGCCAATGAGTTTAGGTTACACAGGTGGTGGTGTGGTGTGTGTACAAGCTGTGGTTACACATTAGCTGCAGAGCAAATCTACCAAAGCAACAAATGCTTACAGGACGAGGCTTCATCCTGAACTCAGTTGTCTGGTCATTTATTGTTTGAAAAAGATTTGCTGATTTTTGGCGCACATCATGTTCTAGAATTGCGCCGCTCAAGGTGGCTGCATGTTGGTGCAGCTCTGTTACTTTCATTCTGAGATTTTGCTTTTGGAAACTTCAATTCCTCTTTTCTGGGTGTGGATCACGTTTTTTTGGATGTCTGTTTCCTTTGGTATCAGATGCTGTGCAGCTGGAAGGATTTTTACTGAAACTTTTTTTAATTTTGGACATTTGTTATGATGCATAACCATGGCAACGAGGCAGTTTTCTACAACCAACAGCTGATTAGCATCTCAAAAGCTCAAATAATATCTCAACTACAGCCCCAAATCTCAAATGTGTTGGGAAGGATGTTCTGTGGATGCATTCTCATCTACTTGTCAGCTGTGCACGAGTGCCTGACCACTGAGATCCTGGAACTAGCAGGAAACACAGCTCATGGCAGCAGAAGGACAGGATCATCCCTCGGCATCTACAGGGTGCAATGATGCCCCAAATCCCACGTGAGTTGAAAAGGAGGTGCCGTGGACAAATTCCCGTCAACCTGGCGGCAGTGCTCGAAACCTCACCACCGAGATCCTGGAGCTGGTGAGAAACTCGGCTCGTGTGGAGCTCTGCAGACTGCTAGGAGGAGTGACCATCACTCAGGGAGGAATTCTGTCTGGCATTCGGGCAATCCTGCTGCCCAGGAGGACCGAGAGGCCCGCCGGATCTGACAGCAAAATGGATCTGGGTGGACGGATCGGTATCTGTGGCCAGATTCTTCAGATTCACTGCAGGAGATCCTTCCTGCCCACAGCTATCAGCATCTATAACAGCTCTTGAATGAAACCAGGATGATGAGCTACGACAACACTTAATCTCCCTCTGGGATTAATAAAGTATTTTTTAATTGAATTGAATTGAATCACATGAGGAGCTACTAAAGCAACACTAATTGCACCAGCATGTGGCCTTAAATTTAGTGTAAAAACCAGTGATGCAATTTTTTTGGAAATACGACAATTAAGACATACTTTTCATGAAATATTCCACTGCTCCAAGAAAATAAGATCCATCTTTGCAAAGTATAAAAGTTTAAACTACTAAGTGAAAAATGAATGAAAATAAGTCAGATGGCTGTTGATCTGTGTGGGGTTGATCGAATTTGTAAAATCTTTTCTACAAAAGCACCTCAAAACCATTAAAATCATGGTGCCTCAGGTGGTGACTTCATCTGGTTTACAGTCAGTATAATACATCACAAATATTAACGTATTATATAATATTTCTTCTGAATGAGATGCAGATTCAGTTTGGTAAGTTATTGTATTAATAAACAATTTAGTGAAAGCTTTGAAAGTTGGGGTCTGGCTTTGTGTAAAAGGGGCTTTCTTTACATTTGAGCTTTCAAATTGTGTCTTGGCAGAGTAATTTTTATCTTTTATCAAATAAAATGTGCAAAAAATTATTATTTAGTTACCAGTCAGCCTAACATGCACGTTTGTGGTTAGACTGGTACAAGACATGAGGACAGCAGGACAGTTTTTGATGTTCTGTAACTAATTAACAGTGTATATGATGAACTTTTAAGTGACTTTTCTCCGTTCAAATGTTACTTTAATGGTACCACAAACAGGTCTTTCTAAGGTCAGACAACGCTGAACATGATCAGAGCCCCTCAGAGTAAAAGTGAGAAGAGAGGATTCCTCTGCCAAACAATAGGTCTTTATTGATTCAGAGGAACAGGTGGACCCAGAGCATGGAAAAAATACAGAGAATGAGATGTCTGTCCTGAGTGAGAGGGTCGAAAAGGTTAAAGGAAAAAACTTTAAAAGCAGAATATTCTCATTCCGCATATACAACGTTTTGTTTAATCCTGTGTTTCTCTGGCATATTGTTCAACTTTTATAGCAGAAGACTGTGACAGATTACTTAATAAAACCAGTAGAAATTTGTCTTTGAATGAATTTACTTGAATTATTTACAATTTATAAAATAAACCAAATCAGCTAATGTTACTTTACATGTCCAGTGAAGGGACAGTGGGTATATTGGTAGAAGGATGTTAGAACTGCAGCTGCCAGGAAAAAGACGAGGAGATATATGGATGCAGTTAGAGACATGGAGGGAGTTGGAGTGATGACGGAGTGAGGTGGAGGAGGACAGAGTGAGGTGGAGGAGGACGACTCACTGTGGCGACCCCTGAAGAGTGGACTGCTAAAACAAAAAGCCAGTATTATTGTTCTGTTTGTTTAGGTCCCATCCACACTCATAAGTATATTTTTGAAACCAGAATGAGGCAAACGAGGGCAGAGGCAGATGTAGGTGCTTCACCTTTACTACACAAACTTTGTTGTAACGGACAGGGAATTCGAACCAGCAACCCGGTCACAGGCTCTCCGTCTCTAACCTCTGCTCCCCATATGGGTGTGTAACATAGATGAAAACTCAAAATGGAGCTTCTCAAAAATCTCACAGCACCGTTTTGCTTATGCCAGCTGTTAGTGCCTCAGAAACATTAAACCCAATGGAGCCATTTATTTTACCCATTTTTCTAACTATTTTGCTTTATATCAAGTATTTCAACAGCAAACTTTGTGTTTTGA